ATTTTCCTCAACATTAAACTGAAGGGTTACCTTGCACCCTGACTACAAAATACCCCCATTTTCTATTTGTATAATATTACGTATGAAGGTAGCAGGGCATTCTTCATGTGCTCATGCTATACATAATTAATTTTGCTATGACAGATGAACCCACTTCTCAAATTCAGCAGTGACATCTGAAAATTTCAGGTAGGCATTTCATTTGAAGAATCAACCAAACACCAACGTATTTAGCACTCCAAACAGCAGTATCCCCCTGCTGTGTGAACATGGCTCACGAAATAAGTCGTTCATCACGTCAGTCCTCCATCCATCCTCTTACTCTTCACCATTTAAAGCACTTTGAAGCAGAGTCTTGACGTTCTTCTTTTCTTTTTGTATTCTTGTCTTTTCAGATAGGAGAGTGAATCCAGGTTCCAGCCTCTCACCAAAACCCCTCCCAGTGCTTCCGGACCTTTTCGTTGTCTATCTCCATAAGGATTGACCCGCGGCCCCATCCCAGGACCCGGGAGACCGGGACACAAACGGGCCCTTCAGGTTGATTTATCGGGCGTATTCAGGGCCAGGCTCGCAGGGGGACAGAACGGTTCTGACATCACTGATCACCAGAACAACCCCTTGAAAAAGCCACCTCTTGAGAGAAGACTGCACCTCTACCGACTTCCATCGGATGCTATTGAAATTATAATAACAATAACAGTATTAATAATTAAAGATATCTTTGTAGAGAGTCGTGCATCATGACAGCTCAAAAGCAAAACATGACATTAAAAAAAGCAAAATGGCTATTTTGTTCATTCTTTTCTTCAGCATCTTCTTTTCTCCTCTCTTTAAAAAAAAAACAAAGCAAAACCACACAAGCGCCTTCATGGTGAAGTCAGGTTAAAAAAAAAAAACTAAATGGAAAACAAGTGGCACTGCATCATGATGGCAGGCGGGACAAAACGGAATTGTTTTAGTGGAAGAAAGAGCTATCCGTCACTGTCTGTCAGCTCATTCATCCAGTACTCCCTGAGCATCCAGCCCATCCGTCATCCCCTCTCAGTCTCTGACACCCGCCCAGGTTGGCCACTTCGGCAACGAGGGAGGGGGTCCCAAATATGGACCCTTATAACCCCACTATTATTGTTTCCCATCCTCTCTAGATCTCGGAATTCATGAACACACATGCTACATTCTTCTTACCGGCCTTTTTTCAAACTTTCATTTGACGTGTCCCCCCAAAAAACTGTAATTATGTTTGATACAACTGATGCACAACCGAATATAATTATTTTATAATTTTTTACTACTATTTTATACTATTAGTTGTTGCCTACTTTATTTGGAAGACAGTTGAGAGGGTAGAAAATAAGCAGCAAACAGCGAAAGAAGTGAGATCGTAATCGAACTTGAATCTCCCATGTGTGCATCACTGCTTTTCTAGAACTGGGGAACAAAACTGATTCATCTATGTATTGCAATAGTCTCTATAACAATTCTGAATTGATTCACAACTGATTTAGATAAGTTCAGTGAGATGCACAAACACTAACTCGATCACTGTTTTTTTGCAGTACGGAAGACGTGAGCAGCCAAGCAGGACTGCAGATGAAAGCCACAATGTTGCAAAATAATCACTGTTCAGCATAAAGAATATTCAAAGTTTTTATGATATTAAAATAAAATCCATGGGGAAAAGGTGTTTCTTTTGCAACAAGCATTAACAAGACCAAACAAAAAAAAAGTGGTTTTAGTGTGGGTTTTGTAGTTACTGCAACTGTCTCTGAATCAGAGCATGGTTGAACCAAACCTAGGAGATCTGGTCATAACTCCTGACAAAATGTCAAGTTGCTGTGTTTTGCCTTTGCATGACAGAATAAATCCAATCAATAACCATTTCTGGGAAAAGATGATAATCGTTTCTGGAAAAAGACTCCCTGTAGCAGAATAAAATTACTTATGCTTACATATGCCCACAACATTCATGCTCTGGAGTATGCATGCTAGGCTACAACATTTTGAATGGTCAAATGAACTGCAGCAACAAAATCTATTTTGTGCTACCAAAGGGCTATCAAAATGTTCTCTAAACATAAATAATGGGATGAGAGAATAATGCCTTGGGCTGTTGCCTTTCTGGTTGCAACATCACCTTGATGTTCTTCTCAATGTGTTTCAGTTTGTGTTTTTCAAGCCAGAGCACAGGCCAACATTTGCTATAAACGGCTCCAGCTCTGCAATGTTCAAGAGTGCAGAGGTGCGAATGGGATAAGATGACCCCTAAAGAACCATCTAAAAAAATTCTTACCTTAAAGGGGTCATATGATGCGATTTAAATTTTTCCTTTCTCTTTGGAGTGTTACAAGCTCTTGGTGCATAAAGAAGATCTGTAAAGTTGCAAAGACTAAAGTCTCAAATCCAAAGAGATATTCTTTATAAAAGTTAAGAGTCAACCACACCTACCTAAAACGGCTCGTTC